GGGAATTTAGGTTGGAATAACTGTTGCTCAGGAAAATTCCACACCCCTGAGCAATGCAGTTAAATTGACCTAACCTGTGGTGTAGACTAGGGTGAATTCTCCCGTTGACCTAGCTACCACTTCTCTGGGAGGTGGCTTACCTATGCTGATGGAAGGACCTCTCCCAGTGGCTTAGGTAGCATCTTCACTGAAGCTGCGCCACTGCAGCATTTTAAGTGTAGACATAAGAACGGCCATACTGGGTCAGACCAGAGGTCCACCTAGCCCAGTATCCTGTCTCTGACAGTGGCCAATGTCAGGTGCTTCAGAGGGAATGAACAGAACAGGCAATCATCAAGTGATCCATCCCCTGTTGTACACTTCCAGCTTCTGGTGAACAGAGGCTAGGGACACTCAGTGAATGGTATTGCATTCCTGCCCATCCTGGCAAACAGAGGCTAGGGGACACCATCCCTGCCCCTGACAAACCTAAGACTGTAAAGTGCTGTGTAAATTAAAGCAATCCTATGAAAATTATAGAAGAAAATTTGTAATGTAAGGTTTTGCGTACATGATCGCAATCATAATAGTGAATAGTAATGTACACATGTTTTTAAGAGCGTAAGGACATAGGGCAGGATCCAGCCATTAACTTCAATGGGAGCAGACTCAGCCCCTTCGTTCATAAAGAGATCGTCTCAGGACAGCCCGTTCAGTAGGACAAAACAAAGCTAAAACACTTTAGCTAAGCAGTGGGTCTCAATCACCTTAGTGCAGCGGAGCTAGCTGGCCTTGGGGAAGCTAGATGGCTCCATTATCCAAACCTCACTTTAACGTAAGTGAATGTGACCCTGTTTCAGATAATGGGATAATAGAGGATGCATTATACATCATTTGTAGGATTAGCGAGGGAACAGGACATTCATTACATAACTGTGACAGAAGTCACAAAGCAAGACAACTTATGGTCTAAATTATTTGGACATGCGAATGCCAGTCATAGAACATGATGCAGTTGTTTTAATTGCATATCGTTGTCATATTTCTAATACATTAAACATTTGATTCTCTTTTACTCTGATCGTAAGTTGAGTTTGGTTTTCTTCCACAAATGTGTTGGCACAGTCATGCCACATGAAAGCTCCCCAAGTCATTTTGCAATTCATTAATTTTTTCCATTACTAATACTTTCCATATTCTCTCTAGACAGTCTTTTAGCCTTGGGGATTTTCTTTTGATACAATCTTATGAGCCACAACTAGTAATAAAGAGGTGAATTTTATATGTTTGCTTTCATATTTTTCTCTTACTGGGAGTGTGCGAGGAAGGATTATCCAGTTATTAGGGCACTAGCTTGAGAGTCAGGAGACCTGGATTCAGTTCCCTGATATGCCACAGCCTGCTTCTGTGACCTTGGGCAAGTCACTTAGGCCCAGATCCACAAATGTATTTAGGCTTCTAACTTTCATTGACATCATTCCATTCAATGGAAGTTAGGTGCATAAATACCTTTGTGGATCTAGGCCCTAGTCTCTTTCTGCTTTGTAATAGTACCTTCCTTCCTCACAGGACTGTTGTGAGGATAAATACCATAAAGGTGGTGATGTGCGCAGATAACTGTGGTGATAGGGGCCATATACGTACCTTAAACAGATAGTTGTATTGCCAGCAGATCATAAGGAAGGTCAGTTTTTGTGATTCAGTTTTTAACATCGTCACTTTCCTCAAGCCATTTTTCATGGCTCCCTTGTGTTATGTATGTAAAGGAGCTTCTGTCTCTACAAGGTGTTCAGCACACAACACTTCTAAATTAATTTTTTTAACCACGCTAGCATGCAATGCCAGTGGAATAAAAACTCAAATACATTTTCAATATTAATTTTAATTCACTTTTGCTACAGTCTTGGGAAGATCCTTGTTTGTTACTCAAAGATCCTAATAGCTTCCTTGTACTGGGCTACTTGTATTTTATTTGTAAGTAATGGAAGCGGGAAATGTTAGGGAGTGGAAGCTCTCTTAATCACGGCTAAACATTACCTTGTGGAATACTGTGCTTGTCCGATGTGGGTGATGCTGTGCCAGTGCTGGAACTCTCTAGTAGTATTGCCTGAGGCAGTCCCCCTTTATTGAGGCACATCAAAGCAGCAAAGGAAATGTCCATTATTTGATCTTACTGCCTGGGGTTCAGTCTTGCATGAAAGTGGGCATGGATATGTGAGGGTCTGCTCTTTGAAACAGTATAGGTCACTGCTGTGAGTAGAATTTTCTTTTGCAGGGACTCAGGTTAGGAAAAATCCTATTGTCCAGAAGTCTGGGGACAACAAAAAACCTCTTCTGTCCCAATGTTATTTGATTACTTACTGTCCACCAAGCTCTGCACTTAAACATCGTGGTGTATTGTCCGACTAGTATATTTGACCTGAGGCTGAAAATGAAAATTGGTCTCCTCTGCTCAGTGCCTTGGGGAATACCAAAAGAATGGTGTCTGTACCCCTTCTTACACTTGGGGAGAGTGCATTGCCAGCACCCGAGAGCTGCCCTTATTTGTTTTTAAAAAGGAATGTAATTCAACTCCTATAAAGCCAAACCATGAAGCCTTAAATGTTACTTTTTATTCACTCCTTATCCAGTAGAATCCCATTGATTTCAGTGACATTGATCATAAGTAATGAAGGGTGCTAAGCAAAAAGACCTGGGATAGGGTTTGCATAATGAGGCTTTCATTGCAAAGTTGCCTGTAAGAGCTGGGTGAACTATTTGCAATGGACAATTTATTGAGAGCTCAATCCAGCAAAACACAAACTGTGATATTCAGATTTGACCTAACTCTGCTCCCATAGAAATTAATGGGAATTTTCTCACTATTCATCAGCATGGGAGGAGTATGACTGAAGTCAGTGGCAATACTGACATGATTAAAGTTAAGCATGTGCTTAAGCACTTTGCTGGATGAGGGGCCTGATGCATTTAGCTGCTTTTCTGTTTGTGAGCTGTCTATATATAGAGCGATTCTTTTCATGTGTTTGCTATTCAAAGTGATTCTATGAATGGTTAATGCAAATATATTTCAGATTATGACTGCTTGTGAACTGTTCACAGTATCTATTGTGTCACGTGTCAGCTATTCATACCTCACTGTTCACACTGTGTGATTGGTCTCTTGAGATGTGTGGAATTATTTCTGTTCCCAGATTGGATGACCCACAAAGAGCATTCAGGGTGGCCATGGGAACATTTCTGGTGTGAAAACTCATGCAAATAAATCTTCATGAGTATTTAATTGCACAAATATGTGTAGAAAGCAAATGAAAGGGGTTGTGGCTATTATTTGCAAATACTTTGGGCAGGATTCAAGGAGCAGCTGTAGTGACAATTATGTTGTACAGGCTTTTGTGATACTGTTTATTGATTTGGGGCCTGATCTGGCTTGTTTTTGAAGTCGAAAGTAAAATTATTGATTTCAATGGGAGCAAGACTGGATCTGTAATTCTGTGTACATTTTATATCGAGCCTTGAATGTGTAATGATATATTGATCCTAAATATGCAGTCGGGTTAAGATGACCTGGACAGAAGTAACTATAAACTACAAAGTTGTCTGCTTTGAATCTTCTGTTCAGTCACCCATTTAGCATAGATCTGTCTAGGGGTGTAAGTGTTTGCAAAGCTACCAAAAAACTGGTCATTCTGGAACATCATGCTGAAGGCTGGTTCTTGATTTTCTTCAAACCTAGCAAGGGACATAAAAACCTATAAGGAAAGGTTCTATAAATATATTAATATTAAGAGATAGATGAAAGAAAGTATAGGTCCTCTACTTAGTGGGGAAGAGGAGCTCATAATGGATGAAATTAAGAAGGCTGAGGCTTCATGCCTATTTTGCTTGTCTTCACTAAAAAGGTAAATTGTGACCACATACTTAACAAAATTAATATTAAAAACCAGAGGGAAGGAACACAAGCCAAAATAGAGGAATAAAAGTGTAAAGAATATTTAGGTAAGTTAGATGTTTTCAAGTAGTCAGGGCCTGATGAAATTCACAGTAGGGTACTTTTAAAAAATAGCTGAAGCAGTCTCTGAACTGTCAGTGACTATTGTTAAAATATAAATATAATATATGGAGATATACCTGTCTCATAGAGCTGGAAGGGACCCTAGAAGGGCATTGAGTCCAGCCTCCTGCCTTCACTAGCAGGACCAAGTACTGATTTTACCTCAGATCCCTAACTGGCCCCCTCAATAACTGAACTCACAACCTTGGGTTTAGGAGGCTAATACTCAAACCACTAAACTATCCCTCCCTGTTGAGTTGATAGCTCATAGAAGACAGGTAAGGTCCCAGAGGACTGGAGAAGGACAAAGCTAGAACCTATCTTTAAAATGAGGAACAAAGAGGACCTGGGGAATTATAGACCAGTCAGTCTGACTTTAATACATGGAAAGATACTGGGACAAATTACTAAAAAATCAGTTTGTAACTACCTGGAGGATAATAGGGTTGTCAACATGGATTTGTCAAGAACAAATCATTCCAGGTCAGCCTAATTTTTGTCTTTGACAGGGTTACTGGCCTAATGGATAGGTAGTAGCTGTGCACCTGATATATCTTGTTTTTAGAAGGCTTTTAATGCAATCCCACATGACATTTTCATAAGCAAACCAGGAAAATATGGTCTAGATGGAATTATTTTAAGTCGGGTGCGAAACTGGTGGAAAGACCCTACTCAAAGAATAATTATCAGTGGTTTGCTGTCAAACTGGGGGGAATGTATCTAGTAAGGTCCTACAGGCCTCTGTCCTCGGGCTGGTGTTATACAATATTTTCATTAATGACTTGGACAATGGAATGGAGAGTATGCTTAGAAAATTTGCTGATGACATCAAGCTGAGAGGTGTTGCAAGCACTTTGGAGCACAGGATTAGAATTCTGAACAACCTTGTAAAATCGAAGAATTGGTCTGAAATCAACAAGATGAAATTCCATAAAGTCAAGTGCAAAATACTATACTCAGGAAGACATAATCAAATGCACAACTATTTATTTGGCATATGCAATACAGGCAAGCCAAGCCACAGCATTCTTTTCAACAATGTTCAAGGCACGAAGACCTCCAGGAAGTTGAGTCATTTTTCAGTCCTTAACAATGTGTGTCATGGTTTGTGGCTGCCCACATTAATATAGTGGACTGTCTTTAAAACACCACCGAAATTCTGCTGCAGCACAACTACACAGTGGTGAATAACTGATTAGGTGGTAGTATTGCAGAAAAGGCTCTGGGGTAAAAGTGGATCACAAATTGAATATGAGTCAACAATATGATGCAGTTGTGAAAAAGGCTAGTGTCGTTCTGGGATGAATTAACAAGAGTGTCATATTTAAGACATGGGAGGGAATTGTCCTGCTCTACTTGGCTCAGCTGGAGTACTTTGTTCAGTTTTGTGTGCCACACTTTAAGAAAGATGTCTGCAAACTGAAGAAAGTCTAGAGAAGAGCAACAAAAATGATAGAACGTTTAGGATTGGTATACACTACACAGTTCGGTCAACCAGAGGTAGCTTACATCGGCCTAATTGTGCAAGTGTCTACACTTTAATTTGGCTCCTATCGACAAAAGTGCCCCATCATGCCAACTTAATAACATCACCTCTCTGAGGGCTGTAAAGTCATGGTTGATGTACTTAGGTTGACACAGTGGGAGTGTAGACACTGCATTACTTACATCGACCCTAAGTCCTCCAGCAGCTGTCCCACAATGCCCCACACTGACCAGTCTGGTCACCACTGTGAACTCTGCTGCCTAGAAGGCACTCCTCCCTTTAAAGCCCCATGCATTTTTGAAATTCCTTTTCCTGATTGCCTCGCTTGGCAAGCACATCTAGTAGCTCTCCATTGTTGAGTGCAACTGCCCAGTTGGCCATGCCTGCTTGGAGTAGACAGAAGATATGGATCTCCTAGGCCTGTGGGGAGAAGAGGATGTGCAAGCACAGCTCTGAACCAGGCCTACAAAGAGCTGCATGTCATACTTACTGGAGACCCAGCCACCACTCCCCATAGCACTGTGGATACTTCCATGAGACACCCAAGTCACAGGCCCCTGCCATGAACAGCCATGAACTCACCTACCTCTGCAGCCCACTGAGAATTCAGTCTCAGGACCTCCCTATATCCCCTCCCCACAACGTTCCACATGTCATTAGGGGTCGCTGCACTACCCCTACCACTCCTCCCCAGGAGACATTAAAGACAATCACAGCTTCTCATACACTGACCTGTGAAAGCCATGGTTGGTGTATGTGTAGCTGAAATGGACATGACTGTCCTTTCCACTTATAAGTTCTTTTCTCTTGTTTTATTAAGTTTTTAAATTGCCAGGGTTTTTTTGCATTGTTTTTGTTACAGAATAAAATTCTATTATTTGGAACATAACTAGTCTTCATTAGTTCACAACATATGCTGGCTGGTACTCATCAGTTCTTAAAGCAACCAATTACCTGTTACTGCACAGTGTCACACAACTCAGAAGACCATTCACAAATAAAATTAATAGGTGTATTGACAATGTTATATCTGTACACATACAGCAATCACCACACAATTCATACCACGCTGCAAAAGAGCAGGGCCAGATAGAGCACACTACTACAACACTACTCTGACTCACTATAAAATGGTCTTTCAAAATCTCCCTGAGCTGTATAGCTCTGTATTGAACTCTTCTAATAGCCCTTGTATCTGGCTATTCAAATTCAGCAGACATCTGCTCCACCTCCACCCCGGCTGAAACTTTCCCCCTTTGCTTCATAGCTATTATGCAGGACACAGCAGGCAGCTATAACCATTGGGATATTTTTCTCATTGAGGTCCAATCTTGTGAGTAAACAATGCTGGCATCCTTTCAAACAACCAAGGGCATATTCAACTATCATTCTGCACCTGCTGAGCCAGTAGTTGAAGCATTCCTTGGTGTGGTCGAGACGTACGGCTTCATGAGCCAGGGGAGTAGGAAGTAGGCTAGGTCGACCAGGATCACTATTGGCATTTCAACATTGTCAATGGTAATCTGCCGGTTGGGAAAGAGAGTCCCTGCTTGCCACTTTCTAAATAGTCCTGTGTTCTTAAAGATGTGAGTGTTATGCACCTTTCCTGACCAGCCCACACTAATGCCAATGAAGTGTCCTTGGTGATCCACCAGTGCTTACATAACCCTAGATAAGTAGTTGATCTATTCTGTAGCAAGGTGATCTGGTGCCAAAATAGGGATATGCGTGCCGTCTATCACTCCCCTGCAGTTCAGGAACCCCACTGCTGCAAATCCATCCACTATGTCCTGCACATTGCCAAGAGTCACTGTCCTGCATAGCAGGAGGTGATTAATGACCCTGTACAATTGCATGACAATGGCCGCCACGGTGGATTTCCCAATTCCAAATTGATTCCCAACTGACTAGTATTAATCTGGCATTGCAAGTTTCCACAGTGTGATCACCACTCATTTCTCCACTGTCAGCGCGGCTCTCAGTTTAGTGCCCCTGTGCTGGAGGGCTGGGTAAGCTCAGCACACAGATCCAGGAATGTGGCCATGTACATCCAAAAGTTCTGCAGCTACTGCTTGTCACAGAGCAGTAAACCAGCCTTATGATGTGATCCCACCAGTCTGTGCTTGTTTCTCGGGCCCAGAAGTGCACTCCACCATTCGCAGTTGCTCCGTGAATGTCACCAACAACCTTGAATTGGTTCTCGCTATGTCCCACAGCAATCTGTCCTCCAAGGAATCATCATGTTCCCTGCGGCTCTTGTGGCTCTGCAAAGACAATAGGATCATGCACCCCGTGCTTGCAGCACTCATGACAATAGTACAGAACCGTGCAGGCTCCATGCATCTATTGGAGATGTGGGATTATGAAAAAAAAGGCACAAAAATTCTGGGATACAGATGACATTATGGGAGGGAGACAGTTGCAAACTGGGAAGTAGACCCCATTCTCCTAGTCACCCCTTGCGACTCGTTTCAGCCCCATCATTCAATGTCCAAACTTCCTGAACAGTGGCGAGTTGCATACTGGGATACCTACCCATGGTGCACTACACTGTGCATTGATACAGGCACTCCTGATACATGCATGTGCCGGCATCACCAGGAGCCAAGTGTGCATGCACACAAGCAATATACTAACTGTGGCAGCTGTATGTTGATGTATCTTGAGTCAACATAGGTTTGTAGTGTAGACATGGCCTTAGAAAATCTGACCTATGAAGAAAGGTTAAAAAAACTGGGCATGTTTAGTCTTGTGAAAAGAAGATTGCAGGGAGACCTGATATCAGTCTTCAAATATTAAGGGCTGTAATAAAGAGGATGGGGATCAGTTGTTCTCCATGGCCATTGAAAGTTGGAGAAGTAATGGACTTAATCTGCAGCAAGGGAGATTTTGGTTACACATTTGGAAAAACTTTCTAACCATAAGGACAGTTAAGACTGGAATAGGCTTCCAAGGGAGGGTATGGAATCTCTGTCATTGGAGGTTTTAAAAAGAAGGTTAGACACACACCTTTCAGGGATGGTCTAGGTAAACTTGTTCCTGTGTCAGCATGGGAGGATGGGCTAGATGACCTCTCAATGTCCCTTCAAATCCTACATTTCTATAATTTTATGAATCTATAGTCTGCTGTATTCCCATTGTTTGGCTGATTAGAGGCCCATATACATTCTACAAGATGTACACTACAAAGCTGTTCTCAAAATGAGTCCCTCTTGGGGTTCTCATGTTGAACAGCTAAGGAAATCTTCATAAAAAGATGAATTTTCAGGACAGGTTAATGGGAGCTTTTGAGACATTCATTATGAGCAAGTAGTTTTACGTGCTTTTTTATTTTAATCCTGGGAAATTGATTTCCTATTCACATGCTTTGGTTAATGTACAAGCACATGCCTTCATAAATAGTCAAAGATATTCAAGAAATGCCAAGAACAATTCAAAAGGCTAGTGAATATCTACAGGAAAGTTTTTAATAAACTCTTAAAGAATAAGTATCAAGTATTTCAAGGTCAGTACCGCTCTTACACTGAGACCCTAAACTACAACTAGGATGTCACATCTTAGCATTTAATAAAAAAACACAGTGTGGCCACTTGCTCATTATAGCCTCGATTCTGTAAAGACTTACCGATGTTCTTACAGTAAAGCAGGCAAGTAGTTCCATTGGCTTCAATGAGTCATGCACTTAAACTATAAGGGGTTTTCAGGATCGGTGCCTTGCTGCAAATGACTGGGCTTTTGTGGTCCGATACTCCAATTGCCTGTACATATGCCAACCATTTCCTTAAATGTAATGTATAGTCATCATTTTAGGGTCTGATGCTGCCAGCCCTTACTTATGCATGCACTCCTTATTTACATGAGTAGTTGCATTGACTTCAGTGGATAAGGGTTGTGGGATGAAGGTTGACAGCTGCAGTCAGACAGACTCTCATTTTATATGTATGGTTAAAGTGTATGTATTTAAGATTATGGGCAAGGTGCCGGCATGAGATCTGGAGCAAAACATGCCAAGAACCAAACTACCCAAATATAATAGCCAAATACACAGATTTAAAACAACCAATGTATATTCAGAAAAAGATCACTCTGATCCCATGTCATTTGAAATGACACAAGGCTCTGCTTATAGCAGAATTCTTGATAAATTGTAACAGCTGGTGGTGTCATGGAGTAGTGTTTATACAATCTAGGGCTTGTCTTCACTATCGTGCTAAATCAATGCTGCTGCAGCACGTCTGATGAAGACACATTACATTGACAGGAGAGCGCTCTCCTGTCAACGTAATTACTCCACCTCAACAAGAGGAAGAAGCTACATCGGCAGGAGAGCATCTCCCGCTGACAGAGCGTGGCGTACACACCACTTTAAGTCGACGTAAGTTATATCGCTCAGAGGGTGGTTTTTTCACACCCCTGAGTGACGTAACTTACATCGACTTAAGCGGTAGTGTAGACAAGCCCTAAGTATTTATCACCTAAAGTAATCTTAATAGAAACATTAATCTTGAAGAAAATTATTCTGACTCTGCAAACAATAATTAGAAATGCCCTATGTGAAACAGTTTTGAGGACAGAGTTAGCTCTCCTCATAAAGGCATTTATAAACCTGTAGTTTAAAAACCAAACTGAGATTGATTCTTATTTATATTAAGGGCTTCTCTTGCTATGTATGCACAATAACTCTTAAGGTGAGTGTGGTAGTGCTTTTAATTCAATGTGACTGGTCATTCAGGGACGGACTACAGCTTGAGTTAGTACAACTGGTCAGATGCTAATCCAATCAGTCTGTGCAGTAATCAATCACTCTCTGCAGCTCAGGTGTTATTTTGCAGCGTGGCTGCTCTCTCTAGAGGTAGGCTAACATAAGAGGAGTTAACTCTGCAGTGAAAACATGGTCTAAGAGTCTACACTGCAATGAGAGGAGCGATGGCAGCATGTGTAGACATAACCAAGCTAGCTTGGATCGTGTTAGCTCCAGTAACAGCAACATCGCAGAATCATAGAACTGGAAGGGACCTCAAGAGGTCATCTAATCCAGTCCCCTGCACTCATGGCAGGACTAAGTATTATCTAGACCATTCCTGACAGGTGTTTGTCTAACCTGATCTTAAAAATCTCCAATGATGGAGACTCCACAACCTCCATAGGCAATTTATTTCAGTGCTTAGCCACCCTGACAATTAGGAAATTTTTTCTAATGTCCAACGTAAACCTCCCTTGTTGCAGTTTAAGCCCATTGCTTCTTGTCCTGTCCTCAGAGGTTAAGAAGAACAATTTTTCTCCCTCCTCCTTGTAACAACCTTTTACGTACTTGAAAACTGTTATCATATCCCCTCTCAGTCTTCTCTTTTCCAGACTAAACAAACCCAGTGTTTTCAATCTTCCCTCATAGGTCATGTTTTCTAGACCTTTAATCATTTTTGTCGCTCTTCTCTGGACTCTCCTGAAATGTGGGGCCCAGAACTGGACACAATACTCCAGTCGAGGCCTAATCAGAGTAGAGTGGAAGAATTACTTCTCTTGTCTTGCTTACAACACTCCTGCTAATACATCCCAGAATGATGTTCGCTTTTTTTGCCACAGCATTACACTGTTGACTCATATTTACCTTGTGGTCCACTCTGACCCCCAATTCCCTTTCCGCAGTACTCCTTCCTAAATAGTCATTTCCCATTTTGTATGTGTGCAACTGATTGTTCCTTCCTAAATGGAGCACTTTGCATTTGTCCTCATTGAATTTCATCCTATTTACTTCAGACCATTTCTCCAGTTTGTCCAGATCATTTTGAATTTTAATCCTATCCTCCAAAATACTTGCAATCCCTCCCAGCTTGGTATCGTCCACCAACTTTATAAGTATACTCTGTATGCCATTATCTAGATCATTGATGAAGATATTGAACAGAATCGGACCCAGAACTGATCCCTGTGGAACCCCACTTGTTATACCCTTCCACCATGACTGTGAACCACTAATAACTACTCTCTGGGAACTGTTTTCCAACCAGTTTTGCACCCACCTTATAGTAGCTCCATTTAGGTTGCATTTTCCTAGTTTGGTTATGAGAAGGTCATGCAAGACAGTATCAAAAGCTTTACTAAAGTCAAGATATACCACATCTACTGCTTCTCTCCTATTTACAAGTCTTGTTACTCTGTCAAAGAAAGCTATCAGGTTAGTTTGACATGATTTGTTTTTGACAAATCCATGCTGACTGTTACTTATCATCTTATCTTCTAGATGTTTGCAAATTGATTGCTTAATTATTTGCTCCATTATCTTTCTGGGTACAGAAGTTAAGCTAACTGGTCTGTAATTCCCTGGGTGGTCCTTATTTCCCTTTTTATAGATGGGCACTATATTTGCCCTTTTCCAGTCTTCTGGAATCTCTCCTGTCTTCCTTGACTTTTCAAAGATAATCGCTAATGGCTCAGATATCTCTTCAGTCAGCTCCTTAAGTATTCTAGGATGCATTTCATAGAATTATAGAATCATAGAATATTAGGGTTGGAAGAGACCTCAGGAGGTCATCTAGTCCAATCTCCTGCTCAAAGCAGGACCAACACCAACTAAATCATCCCAGCCAGGGCTTTGTCAAGCCGGGCCTTAAAAACCTCTAAGGATGGAGATTCCACCACCTTCCTAGGTAACCCATTCCAGTGCTTCACCACCCTCCAAGTGAAATAGTGTTTCCTAATATCCAACCTAGACCTCCCCCACTGTAACTTGAGACCATTGCTTCTTGTTCTGTCATCTGTCACCACTGAGAACAGCCTAGCTCCATCCTCTTTGGAGCCCCCCTTCAGGTAATTGAAGGCTGCTATCAAATCCCCCCTCACTCTTCTCTTCTGCAGACTAAGTAAGCCCAGTTCCCTCAGCCTCTCCTTGTAAATCATGTGCCCCTGCCCCTAACCATTTCCGTTGCCCTCCACTGGACTCTCTCCAATTTGTCCACATCCTGTCTGTAATGGGGGGGCCAAAACTGAACGCAATACTCCAGGTGTGGCCTCACAGTGCCGAATAATCACTTCCCTCGATCTGCTGGCAATGCTCCTATTAATATAGCTCAATATGCCATTGGTCTTCTTGGACATTTAATCAGGCCTGGTGTCTTGAAGACATCTAATTTGTCCAAGTAATTTTAACTTGTTCTTTCCCTATTTTAGCCTCTTCTGAGCCTACCTCATTTTCATCCTTAATATTTGTTGGCTGACTGGCATTCAAAGTATGCCCATAAAAGCTCAGCAGCATTAATGTGGGCAT